TTAGAAGCTAGTTTATCCTCTTCCCCCATTTCAACGGTGTGAAGGTGTGCGCCTCTGCTCTGCTCAGCCCCTGCTTCCCTCTTCCCCATTAAACAGTGTGAAGAAGGTGTGCACCTTTGCTCTCTGCCCAGCCCCTGCTTCCTGTTCACAGTAGCTCAGCTCATGAAGCCCACCAGGAAAGAAGCTGTGGGTCTCTGCTTCCCATTTCGCTTTGAGTAAAACCTCAGGGTCATTTACATTGGCTTTAATTCTGATGAGATGAACTGCCTGCCTTGCAATGTGAGCTCAGAGTTTGCAGCCAAGAAGGGACTGAAGAGATCACTCTGCTAATCAGCTCCACCATGTTGGATGGACTTGATCTTAGGCACATGGTCCTCTCTGAATCTCAGGTTTAGCATCTGAACAATGGAAACCGTAGCAACCTCATGGGATGTAGTGGTAATTACTGACACCAGGAACAAAACAGCGTGGCCAGGGTCTGGTTGGACTTTCCCTTCTCCTCATTTCTGGAGTTGACAGACTTTTCTTCTCTTTCAGTTGCACAGAACCTTCTGCAAAGACCTAAGCTGAGATGTGGACCATAGAGGATGGCAGAGGAATGGTATGTCTATCCCCCTTAAGTGGCACAGTGTCCTCCATCATCAGAGATTTCACTCCCAGAAGCAAACTGTATTCTAAAAGCATTGAATAAAAAGTTACAGATATAATTGATGCATATGTTTAAATAACTTAGATCATGGTAGGTTGTTATAATGGTTCTGTTTTGTTTTAGTGCTGTTAATTTCTTACTGTGTCTAATTTATAAGTTAGTCTATCTATATAGTTAATATATAAATTAACTATAATAATTAGCTAATTAGTTCATTGGTATGTACTTATGGAGGGGGGGAACCTGTGGCCTATCTGTGGTTTAGGCAGCTACTGGGGCTTGTTGTATGTCCTGGGTGGATAAAGTGTGTGCTGTGTTTAGGCTTGGCTTCAGAAGTCACTAGCAATGCTTTTTCTCTTAATCTATTTTATAATCATAATATTATTTGGACATATTTTATGTTAAACACTTTTAAAAATCACATGGTTTATATAAAAATAAGCAAAAGATGCTGTGACAAAGGCTATAAATATTATTGCAGAGACAGGAAAGCTCCAAGATTTGGCCACACTGTATAGGCTTGGATATAACCAGAGTCTCAGAGCCCTATATGTTATGACAAGTTCCAACATGAAAGCAGGAAGCCTGAGTCCCAGACAATCAATTTATTGCTCAAAGCTACACATGGTGTAGAACACATGTCTGAGCCTTGCGTGAAGAGTAACAAATCAGACGTCATCTGCTTAAGGGAGAGGAAGGCAGCATGTGGAGTTTATGGCAGTGGCGTCGTCCTCTTTTAAAATCGATTCTGGGTGAGGTTGAGGTTTCTGAAGCTCCAGTCTTCATATACAGTCAGGACACGACTCTATTAGTATCCATGTGATTGCTTTTACTACTTAAACATGACAGCTGATCAAGTTCTGGCTGTATGCATCCTTGTATACAACCTTGAAACTGAAATTCCTTGTGGCCAGCACATCTGGTTTTAAAGAAACTTATCTATAGGAATAGTAAACAGTGAACAAGGACCCCTGCAACCAAGCTTTGGAGTTCGGCCAACCCTCAAGCAATGGAATGATGATTTTTGCAACCAGGCTTGACTGGGTTGGACCTTTGCAGCTGATGGAGGGGGCAGGGTGGGTAGGCAGCTGCTGCCTGGTGGACTGAAACAGGGCACACACAAGGTGGGCAGCCAGATGCCATAATGACCCACTGAATAATAACCACATGCAATACAAGAGAGCTGTGAAATGTGGGGGAAATAATGGCAGCAGATGGACAAAAACCTGGCACACAGCAAGCAGGGAGAGGCAACTCATTTCTAGCACAAAGCCCCGCATGAATTGAAGAGAGATGGGGTTTCATCCCATCCCAGGCCTGCAGAGAGCAACAGGCCTTGTAAACATCCTGTATCCTTTTCCTGTATTCACCGACTACTTGCTTTGCCTAACCGTCTTAGGCAGACGCTGTACTACACAGGATGAAGCCAGGCCTGGTGACCTCCAGGAGCTAAGAATATAATGGATAGTCCCTGGATTTCTGTTTGGTACCAGTTGGGAATTATGCTGTAGGTATTGACATCACTGGCATTGAATATTCTTTAAACATTGGCTTTTCCTTTCCCTGGGGTAACTTGAAAACTATAGGAAGTGGAGCTTCAGAAGCACAGAAAGCTGCACGTCAGATTTGATGAGCTGCGTGTCCAACAGTTGTGCTCTGGGATTGCTCAGAGCTGTCTGGCCAGTGTCTAGTTTGTATCTACAAAGTACCAGGCCATCTCTCCAAAATGTAGTGCAGGAGGGATGACCAGTCCTTCCCTGAATTTTTTTAAATTAAATTAAATTAAATTATTTATTTAACACCCTGACCTCAGTTTCATCTCCCTCCTCTCTTCTCATTCCTGTCCCCCACCGTCCTTCTGCACGCCCCAATCTGCTTCTCTGTTTCTGTTTAGGAAAGGGCAGGTCGCCAGTAGGTATCAACAAAACATAGCATATCAAGTTGCAGTAATACTAAGCACCTCCTCTGTATCAAGGCTGAGCAAGGCAGCCCAGTATGAGGAATAGGTTCTCAAAAGCCAGCAAAAGCTTTAGAGGCAGCCTCTGCTCCCAATTTTTGGAGTCCCAGAAGAAGATCAAGCTATACAGCTGTCATATCTTTGTAGAAGGCCTAGGTTGTTGGTTCAGACTCTATGAGCTCCTATGATCCCAGGTTAGTTGTTTCTGTGTGTTTTTTTTTTTTGTGATGTCCTTGACCCCTCTGGCTCCTACAATCCCTCCTCCCTCTCTTGAGCTGGATTCCCAAAGCTTATTGTAATGTTTGGCTGTGTGTCTGCATCTGTTTCCATCAGTTTCTGAATGAAGGCTCTGTGAGGACAGTTGGGGTAGTTCTGGCTACAAATCCATCATTGCTTAGAGTCTTACCTGGGGTCATTATTGTAGATTCCTGGAAGTTTCCCTTGCATCAGGTTCCTATCTGATTCCAAAATGCCCCCATTTCCAGTCATCTCTTTTAGTACTCTCTCCCTCCATCTACCTTCTAACCCGATTCGTCCCTCAAGTTTCCATCCCCACCTCCCTCAGTCCATCCGCAAGATTTCTTCTATTTCTCCTTCCAGGGAGATCCATGTGTTACCCCTGCTTGGGCCCTCCTTGTTATCTAGCCTCTCTGGATCTGTGGATTATAACATCGTTAACCTTTGTTTCACAGCTAATATCCACTTGTGAGTGAGTACATGCCATCTATGTCTTTCTGGGTCTGGGTACATCACTCAGCATGATCTTTTCTAGATCCATCCAAGGAAGAAATTAAAGTATCCACAGATGACATGATAGAATAACATAGGCCAACTACAGGGAATGCCTACAGCTGATAAACACTTTCAGTGAATGGATATGAGATTAACTGAAAAAAAAAATAGAAAAATCTGTAGCCCTCCTTATACAAACAATTAAATGACTGAGAAAGAAATCAGGAAAACAACACCCTTCACAATAGCCACAAATAATATAAAATATCTTGGGGTAACTCTAATTAGGCAACTGAACGACCTGTATGATAAGAATTTCAAGTATTTGAAGAAAGATATTGGAGAAGATATAAATGAAGATGGAAAGATCTCCCATGCTCAAAAATCAGTAGGATTAACATAGAAAAATGATAATCTTATCAAAAGCAATCTAACATATTCCCTGCAATCTCTATCAAAATTCCAGCACATTTCTTCACAGACCTCAAAAGAACAGTACTAAACTTCATTTGGAAAAACAAAACACCCAGGATAGCTAAAACAATCCTGTATAATAAAAGAACTTCCAGAGGTGTCACCATCCCTGATCTCAAGCTCTACCACAGAGCTATGGCAATCAAAACCACATGGCACTGGCATAAAAACTGACAGGTGGACCAATGGAATTGAGTCAAAGTCTCAGACCTAAATCCATACACCTATGGACACCTGATTGTCAATAAAGAAGCCAAAAATACACAATGAAAAAAGAAAACATCTTCAACTGGATGTATGCATGTAGAATACAAGTAGATCCATAGCTATTTCCCTGCACAAAACTCAAGTCCAAGTAGATCGAAGACTTCAATCCAGTTACACTGAACCTGACAGAAGAGGAAGTGGGAAGTACCATTGAACACACTGGCACAGGAGGAACTTACCAAACAGAACACCGGTATCACAGACACTAAGATCAACAATTGATAAATGGGACCCTGTGAAAGTGAGAAGCTTCTGTAAGGCAAAGGAGACTATTATTAGAACAAAATAGCAGCCTACAGAATGGGAAAAAGACCTTTACTGAATTCTAACCTGAAATAAACATCACATTTCTGTATTCAGAGTACAAATCCAGTCAATGCGGGCACAATACTCTTTCTCCTCTTTCTCCCTCCCTCTCCCTTCTGTTTCTCTCTCTCTCTCTCTCTCTCTCTCTCTCTCTCTCTCTCTCTCTCTTTCTTATAAGTCTTCAAAATTATTTGTTTCTTGAGTAAATACTCATTGTCTTCATCATCATTGTCAGCACTGGTTTTGTTTCAATTAAAAGCTAACTGAAGGGGCTGGGGAGAATGGCTCAGTAGTTAAGAATACTTCTCATGGAGGACCCAGGTGAAGTTCCTAGCCCCCACATGGCAGTTCACAATTGCCTGTAAGCCCAGTTAGAGGGGCTACAACCTCTTCTTCTGGAGTCTGAGCATACTTGTTACATATCAGGCATTTGAATGTGCAGCTATCTTGGAATCTGGAATGATCTGTAATGGAGTGAGGATCTGCTGTGGGATTACACGCACCTGTGGGAGCCCACAGACTTGACTCTTCCATCTTGACTCATGGTCAGAGAGTTCACACCTATTCTTGATTCTCAAGACCAGATAGCAGGGTGGAACCCTTGAAGCGCCTAGCCCCTGTAGCAGCTCCACGAGTCAAGTGCTCAAGTGCTGGAGCACTACAGACTAACTTTAGCCCCGGAATTCTCTACCCTCAGGTCACAGGCTCGGCCGCTATGAAGGTGAAGATTAAGTGCTGGAACGGTGTGGCCACTTGGCTCTGGGTAGCCAATGATGAGAACTGCGGCATCTGCAGGATGGCGTTTAATGGCTGCTGTCCAAACTGTAAGGTGCCTGGGGACGACTGCCCTCTGGTGTGGGGGCAGTGTTCGCACTGCTTCCACATGCACTGCATCTTCAAGTGGCTGAACGCGCAGCAGGTGCAGCAGCACTGCCCCATGTGTCGCCAAGAGTGGAAGTTCAAGGAGTGAGGCCTGTGTTCCCTTTGCCAGCACTGGGCCAGGCTCCGCCCCGGGCCAGGCTCCGCCCCTTCCCTCCCCCCACTCACAGTGGCACCAGGGCCCTGGTTCTGCACTGGGGATAAGGATGCCTTCCTTTGGCTGAAACAAGGAGGTCTTTTTATTCGTTCGTTTTTTCATCGCAGCATTGACACTTTTATTCAATAAGTAAACTCATTAAAGTCCCGAGCCTTGCTGGGGAAAAAAAAAAAAAAAAAAAAAAAAAAAACAGATAGCAGGATGTTTAATCTAAAGAGTGGTTGCAGGATGCTTTCAGAATTAGGAAGTAATTGCACTTGTTTGTTCCTGGTATCATGGTAAGTAAATTTTTTGTCTTTTCCTTTGGCTTGGGGTATATAAGGGCTCTGAGAAATAAATCTGCCAGATACAGTATTCACTGGATGCCCTCCCGACTTTATCTTCTGTCTCTTGTCTATTTCTTTCCTTAATCCTCACTCCCCCTTTCAGGCACCTCCAAACAGGTTGGCTGGTTTCTGACCCCCTTGCCACCTCACTTGCTGCTTTGCACACTAGAATAGTGTTGGAGGAGAGAGCTGCTTGTTGGTTCCTGGCCACTTGGCTAGTTTAGATTCAAAATAATCAAACAGAAACTGTATTAATTAGATCACTCCTTGGCCTATTAGCTCTAGCTTCTTATTGGCTAACTCTTATATTAATTTAATCCACTTCAATTAATCTGTGTATGACCACGTGGCTGTGGCTTACAAGCTAAAGTTCCCAGCATCTGTCTCTGGTGGCTCCATGGTTTCTCTTTGACTCTGCCTTCTTCCTCCCATCATTCTGCTTAGTTTTCCCCAACTAGCTAAGTTCTGCCCTGCTATAGGTCCAAAGCAGTTTATTCATTAATGGTAATCACAGCACACAGAGGGGACTCCCACATCACCTCCCCTATTCTGTTTAAATAAAAAGGAAGGCTTTAACTTTAACATAGTAAAGTTACATATAACAAAACAGGTATCAAATAAGAATTTAGTTACAATATTTGTATCTACTTTATCTTTTATCATAACTAAGGAAAACTATAACTATAAATTCTTCAACTCCATCAAAAACTCCAGAAGAATATAATATTACCTAAGTAAACAGGAAGTGCATTGTAAACAACTTTCAAAATTCTATAATTGACAGAGACATTTCTCTGCCTGGACAGTCACCCAAAGTTCTTCTGTACCATTGGGACATCCATCTTCAGCCTACAGGCCCATAGGATCCAGCACTTTTTCATGAAGGAGGAAATTTCAAAGACAGTTTCGCCTATACTGGCAGTTTGTCTGTCACATTTTTCTGTGTCCTGCACAATGTCTATCAGACTCATCTTGAAGTAGAAACCCTGAAGGATGGTCTCAACTTTAGGCAAGTTCAGCAGTCATTTCTCTGTGGGTCCTGCATATCCAATTAAGCAGTCTAGGCAAGAGCAGTTTCTTGCCTAGATGGCTAACAAACTCCTAGAAAACACTATCCTGAGTGAGGTAACCCAGACCCAAAAAGATGAATATGGTATGTACTCACTCATAAGTGGATCTAGCCATAAATAAAGGACATTGAGCCTATAATCCGTGATCCTAGAGAAGCTAAATAAGAAGGTGAACCCAAAGAAAAACATATAGTTATCCTCCTGGATATAGGAAGGAGACAGGATTGCCAGGCAAAAATTGGAAACGGGAGTGGGGGTGGGGTAGGGTAAGAGGATATGAGGAGAAAAAAGTGAGAAGGGGTGATGGGGAGAGCTTGGGGGAATGGGACAGTTGGGATAGAGAAAGGGTGGATATGGGAGCAGGGAAGTATATATCTTAATTAAGGGAGCCATTTTAGGGTTGGCAAGAGACTTGACTCTAGAGGTGTCCCCAGGTGTCCATGGAGATGTCCTCAGCTAGATCCTTGGACAGCTGAGGAGAGGGAGCCTGAAATGGCCCTATCCTATTGCCATACTGACGAATATCTTGCATATCACCATAGAACCTTCATCCGGCAATGGATGGAGATAGAGACAGAGACCCACACTGGAGCACTGGACTGAGCTCCCAAGGTCCAAATGAGGAGCAGAAGGAGGGAGAACATGAGCAAGGAAGACAGGACCGCAAGGGGTGCACCCACCCACTGAGACGGTGGGGCTGATCTAATGGGAGCTCACCAAAGCAAGCTAGACTAGGACTGATGGAGCATGTGATCAAACTGGATTCTCTGAACGTAGCTGACAATGAGGGCTGCTGAGAAGCCAAGGACAATGGCACTGGGTTTTGATCCTACTGCATGTACTGGCTTTGTGGGAGCCTAGTCTGTTAGGATGCTCACCTTCCTAGACCTGGATGGAGGGAGGAAGACCTTGGACTTCCCACAGGGCAGGTAACCCTGACTGCTCTCTGGACTGGAGAGGGAGGGGGAAGAGGATGGGGGGGAGGGGGATGGAGGAGGGGGCAGGAAATGGGAGGAGGGGAGGAGGTGGAAATTTTTTAAGTAAAAATAAATTTAAAAAGGAGCCTCTTTGACACCCATTATCTTCTTGAAGTAGCTTGGTGCTGTTAGGAACAGATGTGTCTCACTGTCATGAAAAATCCTAAATTTTTAAACATTTTAAATTCATATTCTGTAGTCTTTGGAAGGTTTGAAGAATGCCTATTCACCTGAAATATATCTCTGTACATCTAGAAAATCTAACTAACGTAAGTACAAACTTGACTATTATAGATGTATTAACCTATAAATTACATTTTTAAATGAGCTTCACAAACACAATGCCTTAATCAAGATCAGAAATACATATACACAGTATAACAAAATTGACCTTAAATTTGTATCAATAAATCAAGATCCATACAAATGCAAATTATTCATATATATATCATATCCCCCTTTTAATGTAAACAAACATTTATAGACTATATTTGGGAATATGGGCATGGTTTTCTCCATACTTCTTCTTTCTGTTTATTGGGCAAAGTAATTTTGGGGGGTGTTCATGGTGACCTTCAGGGTATCTTTTCTATCAAACCACACCAGTCTTGAAGCAATCCACAGGTTCTCATCTTCTGTTGAAACAAGAGAAGAACCTCTTTTCTTAAGGATAAGCAACATATCCTTAGACCCAAATCGGGAAGTCATAATACCTTTAGATTATACATGCTGGTTTAGCTTAGCAGCCCATACAATGAAATGTCTCTCTGTACTTAGCTCATTCACAGTCAAAAAATTCAAAGATAACACAATAATATACGTAATCCAGACTCTCTGTGACTTTTCCATTTTTACGTGGCTTATTTTTCTTTATTTCTCTTAATCTATAACTATCTGTACTTCTGTACTCTGTCTCTTTAAAGACTTTGTTTTAATTTTCATAAACCATATACTGCATTTTATAACTCTATACTTTTTTTCTTCTCTCTCTCAAGCCAATGTACATTTATCCAACAATGTGGCCCACTTAGAGGTCTTTTCCTTTTGAATTTGTCTTTATTGTGTATCTGTAATGTTTTAATGACCAGGAGTGCTTTTTAAAATGCTAAGTGCTTTTTAAAACTTAAGCTGTGCCATTACTGTGGTATATACAGTACTTTCTGCTTGCCCACCTAGTCTAAAACTTAAGCTGTGCCATTACTATAATATGTACGGTACTTTCTGCTTGCTCCACCCAGACTGATGTGGCAGGGCAGAAGTCTGTTTAGTGTGAGCCATGCTCAGAGCCCCGTTTTCAGGCACACAGTGAGTCTATGTTGCCATTAAGCAAGTTGGCGCAGTCTGCTCTCAAACCCCATTTAAATGTTCCATCTCCCAAAAGAGCCAGAGGTCATGCTGGCAGCAAGATCCAGAAAGCCAGCATTTCAAAATGGTGCAGCTTTTCTGCTATCGCTGAGTCAGGAAAACCTCTCTTAAAGGAGTCGTGCCTCTGCTTGCTTCTAGCAAACNGTTTTGTAGGTTTGACTTCAAAACCACACTGGTGGTCCTAATTACAAGGTACAATTTAAAGACAAAGAAAAGCAATTTTTTTTTGTTTTTTCGAGGCAGGGTTTCTCTGTGGTTTTGGAGCCTGTCCTGGAACTAGCTCTTGTAGACCAGGCTGGTCTCGAACTCACAGAGATCCGCCTGCCTCTGCCTCCCAAGTGCTGGGATTAAAGGTGTGTGCCACCACCGCCCGGCTTAAAGATAATATTTGTTATGTCAATGTAGTTACCTATGTTGACATGCCTATCTGTTAGAGGAGAGAGCTGCTTGTTGGTTCCTGGCCACTTGACTAGCTTAGACCTGAAACAATCACATAGAAACTGTATTAATTAAATCACTGTTCTAGCTTCTTATTGGCTAACTCTTATATTAATTTAACCCATTTCTATTAATCTGTGTATGGCCACGTGGCTGTGGCTTAGCAGCTAAAGTTCCCAGCGTCTGTCTCTGGCAGCTCTATGGTTTCTCTCTGACTCTGCTTTCTTCCTCCCATCATTCAGCTTAGTTTCCCCCACCTAGCTAAGTTCTGCCCTGCTATAGGTCCAAGGCATTTTCTTTATTCATTAATGGTAATCACAGCACACAGAGGGGACTCCCACATCAGAATAGTGTGGGCTCTTTAGCCTGCAGGTGGTAGAACAGAGGTCACCAACAAATCTATATACTGCCATGTTGTTATCTGACAGGGAGTCATGCCTATGTTAGCACATCTGCACCAGGTTTCATCATCCCCAGCAAATACAGATGGCTCAGATAAACAGAAAACTATACAAGATTATGACTCATAGTTTCATTGTCAGAATTGAGCCATGCTCAAAACTGCAAATGAACAGTGTGCATTCCACAATGGAAACCTAGGAGTATGCAAAGATGAGAAAGACACTCGTGTTCATGAGTTGTCTCATGAAAAATTTGCATAATCAAATGTGCCACATCTTTTATCATAGACAAAAAGAGGGAAATGAAATGATTATTTTTATCCTTATCCTGGGAATAAGTTTGGACCACTAGGGGAT